TCTTTATTTTACACAATTCTTAAGACAAATGTTAATGCTTTTTAAATCAGCTCTTCATTCCAAAATTGTTAGGACCATAAACAGAGGAAATGGGGGACTAGTCTTCAAAAGGAGTCAAGAGGAGAATATTAGCCTCCTAGCATCACACGAACCATGCGTTCCAGCAACACTGGCTAATTGGGATACATAAAAATTGATCATTTAAAGACTATATGCACTTCTACTCTCTTTTTTGTAAGCAGATACTTGATGGTAAGTTCCACTGAGCTTTTGTTTCTATGCTCTTTCAAAACAGTTACTCTGTGAAACAAAGTACTTCTTATGAAAAAAAGAAAAGATAAAAAAAGGAAGCAATGCCAAAGGTCCCCAGAGTTTTTATATTCAATTGTGGTATCTTGTAGCTGCTAACTTGGATTTCCTCTTCTTCCGTGTCTTGTTTTCTATCCCATAATTTGAATTTAGGCACCATTCCTAAGAGTTTCCTGAATTAAAAATTAGACTTTGAAAGTTCTAAAGCCTCCATCAAAACAATGGAGTGAATTCAAATTGGCAGCTAACATTGTGACTCAGCAGTAAAGCACAATTTTTTATGCAGTGCTTAAATTAAAAAAAAATTAAATGTATAATTAAAAAAATTTTCTCACATCTCTTTTCTTTCCTTTAGATTATCAGGATTATTTAATGGTCCATTTTCAAATTGGCTGGGAAATACCCATTTTCCTATGCTGATAAACAGTTTGGTCATTTACTGTAATCCTAGAGTAAATTATTAGTTCTTGCCACAACATGTCCCCATGAAGAGGAAATAATATCCCATTATCGTGCTTTTGTGAGATGATGATTCATATGAGAATTAGACATATGAAAGGATGCTCAGCATCACTACCCATCAGAGAGGTGCAAATTAAAACCACAATAAGATACCACTCCACACTGGTCAGAATGGCCATCATTAACAAATCAACAAACAAGTGCTAGTGAGGTTGTGGGAAAAGGGAATTCTAGTATGCTGTTGGTGGGAATACAGGCTGGTGCAGCCACTGTGGAAAACAGCATGAAATTTACTCAAAAAACTAAAAATGAAAGTGCCTTTTGACCTGGCAATTCTACTGCTGGGATTATACCTTAAGAATCCCAAAACACCAATTCAAAAGAACCTATGCACCCCAGTGTTCATAGCAGCACAATTTACAATAGCCAAGTGCTGGAAACAGCCTAAGTGCCCATCAGTAAATGAGTGGATCCAAAAACTGCGGTGCATTTACACAATGGAATACTATGCAGCAAAAAGAAAGAAGGAGCACTCCTACGTTTTGACGTAGAATGGATGGAACTGGAGAGGATTATGTTAAGTGAAATAAGCCAGTCAGTAAAAGACAGATATCATATGATCTCACCTATGAGTGGAACCTAATCAGCAAACAAACAAGTGAACAAAATAGACAAAGAGTCATGGAAATAAACAACAAACTGACAGGGACCAGAGAGGAGGATAGAATGTGGGAGGTGGGGGTGGGTGGGGCAGGGGAGAGTAATGGGGGAAAAATGAGGACAACAGTAATTGAACAACAATAAAAACATTTTTTTAAAGACTCATAGTTTAAAAGTTGATAAATGGAATGATCTTAGCAAAAATTGTTCCTGGCCAATTTGACTATCTTGTTGTAACTTTTGACAGAATTCTACATTCATCCTTCTAGACAATTTACAATCTAGTTTGAATACATATGACTAGAGAAAAACCATGTAAAGATATAGAGAGGTAGCATAGTACAATTCTGTTGTGGCTACCAAGGTCATAGTGTCAGTGAGTTGTGGGGTTAAGGCTAAAACATAGATCTCCTGATTCCAAGCCAAAATTTTGTAGAGTTAAGCTCAACCAGAGATAAATATCTCTGAGTCAAAGGGATCTGAAGCCAGAAACCCCTGACAAGAGGAGATGAATGAGATGGTGCTGGTGTTCATATAAAAAGGAAGCAAGATGGCAGGTCAGAATTCTCAGGTCTCAGAAACAAAATTAATTTTCTTCAGGTGAATGAGCCATCAGGCTAGAAACAATGCTGAAGGCCTACACATTATTGGGGTGGGTGGCAGGTTGTGGGGGTGGGAATCACAGGCCTCATCTTTGCAGGCAGCCTCAGAGTTAGGGTTTGAACGTAATGCAGAACCAGCGGTGGAAACAGAGCAATGTAGATCCAAGTCTAATCTCTTTTTATTAGCTATGGCAAGCTAACTCATCCCTAAAAGCATCTATTTCTTTAATCTTTAAACTAGTGTCAATAGCAAGATATATAAACAAAACTCCTTATAGGGTTTTAAGCAATAGAATAAGTTGACACATATATAGATAGTACACAACAGGTAGCTACCAAGTAAATGCTAGTTACTGCTGTTTTTCCATGAACTACACTCACTTGTGGTCAAGAGCATGGAATTTTGGAATCAGACAGTGAGTGTATCAGTAGAATGCTTCTGATAGCAAGTAACAGAAAACTCAACTCCTAAATAGTAAAGAAACTTAGTAGCTCATTAAGCGTAAGTCCCAAGGTAGGACATGCTTCAAGATTGTTTGATAAAACATTTCAGTAATGTGAACAATACCTGTTTTTTTTTCCTACTCTTCTATGCAGAATGGTTTTATTATACAACTTGTTTCCTGATAGTTACAGGATGGCTACAGGAGCATTCACGTCTGGTAGATAGGAGAGAACTTTGCTCAAATTGTCAAAGTTCCTCCTGTGTACTGAGTGGTCCAAATTAGGTCACATCTCCTCATATAGCAGCTATTGCCAAAGAAAAACTAGGTGCTGACTGGTTTAAGCCTTGATTCCTGAACCAATCAGCAGCAAAGAGGACAGAATTGTTGAGATTATTAGGCCCCACTTTTCTTGAGCTGGGGTTAATTTTGGATTTAGGGTATTGGACCCAATGTCCACTACTGAAAATTTGAGTTCCAACATTTATTTGCTATGTCCTTGGAAAGTTATACAACCATATTGAATTTATTGAATTTCCTCATCCTTAAAATGGGTATGAAGGTGAATTGAGATAAATAAACATGAAAACAAAGGGTTTGGCAGAATGCCTGGGATGTAGCCAGTAAATGTTAATTATGATTATTATTTATCTATATATTTTCATATTACATAATAGTTTTTAAAATATATGGAACAGTGTGAAGTTTTTGAGAATAAGAACAATATCATTGTCATTTTTTACCTCCAAAGTCTTACATATAATAAATATCCATTAAATTTCTTTAACAAATACGTGAATAAATGAATATCTGTTGAGTGAATGAATAAAGGTCTGAAAACAATAGAAGATAGATTTAAAAGAAAGACAACCAAATTATGACTGGAGGAATTATAGATGAGGAGAAATATGGAAACAAAATAGGTCAGATATTTGAAATGAAAAAATAATAGACCTAGAGAGGTTACAGAAAGTAAATAGAGCAAATATAATTTGAGTTTAGGGTAACCAGCTCATTAAGGTTATGAAGTCTTCAATATTTTGTTTTACAATTTGATAACTAATAAATATTTGGATAAAACTCATATGAGTGCCTACTGTAATCTAGAGGATGTAGAAGAAATAGTAATAGCTACTGATATGTTCCAGACATTATTTTGAATGTTTCCTTGTATAAGCTCAGATTATCCTCAAAGTGAACCCAGGAGGTAAGTACAATTCTTTTCATCCTCATTCCCATTTACAAATAGAAAAATCAAGCCCAGAGAGACTGAACAACTTGCCAAAATCACATAGTAAATAGCAAACTGAGACTTTTTACCCAAAGAATCTGACTCTAGAGTCTGTGTGGTTAGCTATTACTCTACACTGTGTAATAAAACGGGGTGCTCAGGGAAACTCAATTACATTTCCAAACCATCGTGCACCCACGAGCGACATCACAGGCCTCCCAAGTCACTGAGAGCAGAAAGGCATAGCCAACAGTTCATGACGTATGTGTTCTCTCTGGTCCTTACATTGCACTTTTGTAATCCCTTGCATATAACACATTGAGTGTGGCGAGTGCCAACTAAACAAATATTTGTTAAGTGGATGACTTGTGTAGACGGACAGAAGGATGGATGCCAGTGCAAAGGATGTGCTGAACTGATTCCACAGCAGACAACCTCTTTATGCTTCCCCATGTGGTAAATTGCCGTTAAAAACTTCCTGCAGTTTCCAAGGTGAGACAATATGCTTCACAGTAACAGTTGGAGTAATAGGAAAGATACATGCCCCAGAGAATACACTGGAAGCTGGAATGAGTACAAGGTTGTGTGTCCCTTTCCAGGGCCTCTTTGAGACTTATAGCTGACCTGGAGTGAAGAGGCACAGTTCGCTGCCTGAATGAGAAAGCCAGCCCAGGAGCTCTCCAGGGGAATTGAGGACTAGGGGCTATCAAACTACCACTTTCCTCAGGAGGAATCTAGAAAGAGTAAAATAAAGACAGTCACTTCTAGACTTTGTTTTTGTTTTTGCTTTCGGTTTAGTATACACTTGCTTTTGATCAGACTTCGACTTGAAATTCCTGCATTTTTCTTCAGCGCCGTTTACCCAGCTGCTCATACGGGGAACATTTAAGGGAGTCAGAACTCCTCCTCCTTTTAGAGAGCTGTAGTCCCCCAAGGGTTAAGTTTCAAAACCCATATGTAAACCACAATACAGATTTCAGATACAGCTGTACAAATAAAGTGGTTTTGAAACACGCTAAAGATGACTGTTGAGATCATTGCACTAGAAATCCCTCCGCCCATTGTAACTCTTTGGTCTCGTTGCCCGCCCCCAAAAAATCTTTATGAAAAAAATAAATACAATCAACATTATTTTGTATCTATATTAATCATTTGTCATCTATGAGAAATATTCTAGAAGCCATTTTCATATTTAATAGTGGTAGAGGTAATTCGTTTATAAAATGGACTTTTAAAAGAAGGTTTTTAAAAAAGTTACTGTACTTATATACCCTTACAAGCAAATGTCTTTAGCTTTCAGCCTCCGAAGGAACAAAGTCAAAGCTGCTTGAGCAAGTTACCTGGCTGGAGGGAAAACTAGAGGCTCTGGACCACAAGGAGCACAGTGAGGAGCCATATAAAAAAATGGTTCTTGAAAAAGACAAGGTGTGTAGTAGAAGGAAAATCATCTTTATTTTAAAAGTTACTTAACCTGATATGAACTGAGAATTCTGCCATCCCTACTGACTCAGTTGAAAGTTCAGATTTAAGTTCAAGATGGCAAATAATGTTTATATTGCTAAATATAATTGTATTTCCTAATAAATATATATACAAAAATTAATTTTCCTAGTAATATTTTACAATATTTAAAAAATTTGATACATATCCCTTTGAACCACATTAGCTGAATACTCTATTTTTTTAAGTGGTATTATTGATTGTACAAATGTTTCTAGTTTTCAAGGTTAACTTTAATCAAGGAATAGTTTCTTTCTGTTTAGTAAAAGTGGGTTGGAAAATTTGGCATTTGCTTTTAGTTAATTCCTTTAAAAGAAGTTATTAACCTCTGAATATCTGGACTTTTATATATGTGTTATACAAATACATGTATTATATAAATTTATCTCTTGTTCAACCCAAAGGGGTGTGTATCCACCTTTGGAATATATTTTTTATATATTTCATAAAACATATATATATTATATATTCTTATAAAAACATCCATATATTACAAAGGCAGATACTAACCCATTTGGTCCCATATATATGTGTATATAATACAAGGTAGATTAGTATTACCTGCAGCACATCAGTAAACACTATTTTTCCCAATCACTTTCTAATTCTTAACACATTCATGTACTTTTTCATTAGGCTCTTCCGTAGAAAGGAAAAAAGATAGGGATAAATGTAGTAAGTTCTTTAATGGCAATTTTTAAAACCTCTAGCTGAGATAATGCCATTCAAAGATCTGAGAACAGATGTATATTTATATCCGTTCTTTGAATATGCAAAAAGAAGAGTTATACACTCTGTTTCTAAACTTCTCTCCATTCAGCACATTGAGAAATTACAAGCTGAAGTGAAAGCTTTCCAGGAGCAACTCGCCACCCAGGTAAGTACTTTTCTCTTTTTTTTAATCCCTTAATTTATACCATTGTTATTCCAGACATGAACAGATTTTCAGAAGTTATAACTGGGGTCTTTCTGCTACAAACCAAATCACAAGACCAAGAATCAGAATTTTTATGATTCTTGCACAAATCAGCATAAAAAATCAGCATAAAAAGTTCTGATTTGTGTTGATGATACCAATTACCAAACTGAGCTCATATATAACCAGGTGATCTAGTCAGGTGCCACCAGGATAAAAGAACTGGAAACAAAGAGAGGAAAGACAAGGAAGCCAGGCTAGTTTAGTGAGTTAATGGAAGTGGAAATCATAGACACACTGAATATAGGCCTACAGCAGGTCTTCTTAAATTTCAGCATAGTCAGAATTAACTGGGAAACTTTTTTTAAAAATTTATACTTTTTAATCTAGAAAACTTTAAAAAACATGTTGCCAAGAGATTTTGTTTCCTCTATGCCTAGATTGGAACCTGAGAATTTGGACTTCTAGGTGATGCTAGATTACAGTAATGCTGATACTGCCGGTCTTTTTTTTTTTAAAAGATTTTATTTGTTTTTTGGAGAGAAGGTAAGGAGGGAGAAAGAAAGGGAGAGAAACATCGCACACTCCCAACTGGGGACCTGGCCGGCGACCCATGCCTGTGCCCTGATTGGGAATCAAACCAGGCAGCTTTTGGTTTTCAGGCCAGTGCTCAACCCACTGAGCCACACCAGCCAGGGAGATACTGCCAGTCCTTGGACAGTGTTTCAAGCAGCACTGTGTACTGTTTTATATATACACATTCTGTCCTAGTCTTGTAATTTTTAGGCAAGTGACCATATAAACAAATCAGATACAGAGTTGTCCATTTTCAACAGCAACTACTTCCCTGAGAGAGACCCTATGAATTTCTAGGTAAGTTTCACTTATACTGTAGCCTATCTTTGCTCAGAGAACAACTAATGAACATCTTCTGCCACAATACTCTTGTGTATTCATGAATATAAATCAATCGTCACCCAGACACTGTCCTATCCCAAGGATCTGAAAAACCCTGATGCCCTAGGCACGTCCCCAAAGACTTGCTCACCATCCTTCGTGACCTCCTCCACGTACATCTTGGGTGTTATCGGATGACTTCTTGATTAAGAACACTGGTCAGTCATGTTAAATGGTCAGTCTGAACAACAACAAACTCCTCAGATTGATCTGAGGGCTGAGAGGCTGGAGCCTGGAAGTGCTGCAGAAAAAAAAGAATACCCTGCAAAATAATAAATTCTAGTCACCATCCCTCTGGGGTCTGAAATGAGCTGATCTGGATAAAATCACAGTAATTGTCCCAGTTTTGTGCTGTAATAGAGGAAAGCTAATCGTCCGTGACAGTTAGCAGAGCTTTTAACTTTAAATTTAAAATCTTTTCTGACCTTGTACGCTCAATTGACCAATACTGAAAATGATTGAGGCTTGCATTTGTGACACTGTGACATCTTCAGACAGAAGTATATCCCATTAGTTCCGTATTCTGTCACAGATGCCTCTCCCTGGCCTGCCCCGAGGGTGCCAGATAATGACTATTGTGAGAGAATGTCTCCTCATGCCACATTGATACATACAGCCACATGCCTAGAGGGGTTTTAGCTCAAATTTTTTTAGGAAGAGCAAATAATTCACTGAGGTTCTGATATTAGCTTCCAGCATCTCTCCATGAAAAACTGATGAAAAAGCAGAGTCATGGGCGCCTTAGGGAAATTTCTGTGACGTCTTCTTCCCTTGCCTCGCTTCTGTGGATTCTATTCCTGTACCACCCAGTTTCCATCCCAGGCTTGTCTGAACTGGGATTGCTTCCTCTATTAAGGTGTTGATACCAACGACTGAGGTTTCTTCTACACAATTGTTCCAACCTTCAGGTTTAATATAGCAGTGTGATCCTCAAAGTTTTGCTTCCACTCCTCAAGAATATTTAAATTAAAATAATATTAATAATATTGATTACTGAGAGTGGATTATGTGTATACTATGTGTTAGGTTCTTCATATATTATCTACTTTAAATCTCAGTACAATCCAACAAGGTGGGCCTTATTTTTCAGATAAGAAAACTGAGACTTAAAAATCTTAGATCACAAAAAAAAGATCACTTGTCACACACGACAATTCTGAAACCCATGCTTTTTCTCTCACAATTCGCTGCCTTTCCAAATTATATTCTCTGTATGCCGTTCAAGGTCTCAAACAATGCTGGTAAAGATTCTGTCTCCAACTCCATTCTCTCTCTGTTCACTCTGGGTGATTCATCGGGTCATAATGCTTCAGCTCTCACTTCCATGCAAATAACCCCCTCTGCCCCCACCGAGTTCGCCCTGTCTTAATCATCCCCTGATTATAGTTCCTTAGTGCTGTAATGAGCATTTCTTAAAACACTCTCCCTGGACAAAAACATTCCAAGTGATATTAATAGATATTTTGGGGGGAAAGTAAAACGCATTGGAAATTAAGTTAAATGGGTATTTTCCTGCAGGACTTATCAGTGTATAATCGATCTCCAAGAAGGGACCGGAGTATGTAATTTTTCTATGGTTTTGGACTACAAATGGCATTTTAAGCACACAGGTTTGGAAATTGCTGGCGTGTTACATCAAATTAAAGTTTACTAAATATGACCCAACTATCTTGTTGACACTCCAGACTCAGCATAATACAAAGTCAAATTTATCATCTACGCCCATCTCTTAAATATGCTCCTCTGTTTGTATTCCCTTGTCATGGTGAATAATACCGCACTGCTGTATTTATTCTAGATCTACAAAGCGGTGTTGGCATTCTACCTCTCTGTCTCCATCACACATTTAGCCTCCCACCGCACCCCTCCCCTCCCAGTCACAAGGCAGCCCAGTTGCTTTCACATCAGCAAGCCCTTGATGCAGAGGAAAGGAAAAAGATTTGGGGTGAGGGCAGAAAACCAAACGGATCAAACAGTAACAGGAGGAATGAGTGTTCCTGTGAAGTGGCAGAAAAGAGAAAGGGAAGTAAGGGATCAAGGCGGCGGGAATGGAACTCCACGGGTGGGGTGGAGGCTGCTTTGGGAGACTGAAAGGCTCTGGGGAGTTCTGGGGATGCTGACGATTAGGAAATAACAGAGAGTATGAATAAGTGTTGTCAGACAGTATATACTTGAACCCGCTTAAGTGTCAGAGTCATCTGTAAGTTCAGAATTCCCATTAGGCCTGAGCCTCCTCAATGGAACGTTACTATAGGATTTGACCACTGCAGTAAGTCCCCCGGTTTCCCTGCCTCTGCCCTGAGAGAAGTTTACGAACGACCATCGCTACCCCTCATCTCCTTCTTCTCACTCACTCCCCTCTCTCTGCCTCATGCTGAACAGGCGGGGAACTGCTTTTTTAAAACATCCAGTGGCAGTTCATGCTCTGTGACTTTGTTCTTTGTGTTCTCTCCATCTAGATTATCTTTCCTTGTCCTTTTTATCAAAATAATTCTTACTCTTTTTGCAGGACTCATATCAGAGGTCAACTTCTCCATTGACCCCAGAGTACTTTCTTTGGGCTCCCACAGCTTCTTAGGCATACACCTGTCTTAGCCTAAAGTACGACATCTGTCCCTCAGTGGACTTGAAGGTTACTGAGGGAAGCACCAAGAATGTGTTTCTGTACCCACTGCACCAAGTGCTGAATTGAACTGAATTGAATTTTACTCCAATCATTTCATTTCCTGTTTCAAAGCCTGGAGTAAGGCGATGGTTGCCCATTGTCCCAGAATGAAGCCCATCGTCCTGGCCATGGCATTTATCACACTGAAAATGAGGGCCTTACCCCTTTTCTTGTCTCCTCTCTGTCACATATCTGTGACCCTCAAGAATACCCATACGTTCCTGTCCAAGGGACTCTGTCCCTGGTTTCTTTTTCACCTGGAATATCTGTCCCACCATTGTGTTTGCCAGATTTTTCTCATTCTTCATCAAGATTGTTCCTTCCAGGAAGTTTTCCCTGATCATCAAACTAGAAGAAATTTCTCCTTCTTTGGTACTCTAATAGATCTTCTCTGCACTCTCTTCTGTCATGTGTTACACTATGATCCTGATAGATTATTTGATGTGGCCTAGCTCTTCCCCAAGACTGTGAGCTCCTGGGGAAGTGGAGCAAATCTGTTTATGCCTCTCATCATGTCTGGCTCAATGCCTAGTACAGAGTTCATTGAAATGAATTAAAATGGTTAAATTAAAAATGAAGTTATTTTGGTATTTATCTAAAAAATTACTTTATGATAGTTTATTTCTTAAAAATGCCAGTTATATAAATATTAATCTAAAACTGATATTTTCAAGGTATAACATGAAAGGAAATAAAGGTAACTATCTCTTGGAATGGAAATAAAAAGAAAAATGACACAGAAAAGCAAACAGTTGTGGGAAACCCCCCATTGCAGAAGAAAAACATCCAAAGGAAACTATGGGCTTAACATGAAAATTAACAACCTAGGGGTCCTGGCTTTCTTTAAATTTTTTTAATTTATTGATTTCATTTTTATTTTTAAAAGTTTTTATTGTTGACATTATTATAGATATCCCCCATTCACCTACCTCCCCCATTTGTTAATTTTAGAGAGAGGAATGGAGAGAGGAAGGGAGAGGGAGGGAAAAGGAGAGAGAAAGAAACATGGATTTGTTGTTCCACTCGTTTATGTACTCACTGGTTGATTCTTGTATGTGCCCTGACCGGGGATTGAACCTGCAACCTTGGCGTATCAGGCTGAAGCGCCAACAAACTGAACTACCAGGTCAGGGCCCTGGCTTCCTTTTATTAAGAGTTCACTTCTCTAGAACCCAGTAATTGAATTATAGTGTTATATAATTAAACTGATAGCTATGGAAGGGAGAGGAAATACAAGCCTAAACATTTCAGAGCAAGTTGTCACTGCTAATATTTTGATGATTAAAATTTCATTCCATTACCTTTACTTTGTGTAATCACTTTGCTTTTTTTCAAAAGT